TTATGATATTTTATACATAAAAATCTGTTCCTAAAATGTGCTGTATAATCGCTCACAGCGAAATTCACGGAATCCGTAAGTAATTTGGAACCTAAAATTAAATGAAAGAACTAACATTTAGTGCATGAAGTCATGGCTTTCATTTTTTTGTGTAGGTACCTACCTACCTATTTATGAAATAAATAATGTAATTTTTAAAATAATGCTCTGATAGAAAGACGATTTAATGATATTTGTATTTTGTTTGCCAGTTTCCCCAAAACTTTCTTGTAATAAACTGACAACACCGGCTAACCATACTAACCATACTAACCTTCTAATTAACTAGTTAAAAAACCGTGTTTTCTTAAATTAATGAAAGTTAAATAACAAAACTTACAAATGAAAATTGATCTTGGTATTATTATACGATTTTCCCATACAAATGAGACACGATTTGATAGCACAAACCGGTATAATTAATTATTTTTCGTGAGAACTTTATCCGTGATTCAAATGATACTGACATAAGTGAAACGCGAGTCTACCAATTTTAGCAGACATCTTTTGCGCCGTTCAGTACGGCTAATGGGATATCTAGATAAGTTTATAATCAAAGAATATTTATGATGTTACTTGGATTGAATTTAAGCGTTTCAACATCAATTATTGAGGAAACCAATAACGAACCCATTGGAAGCATACGCAGCCGTTCACACATGTAAAATTATTCTACCTTACATACGGCAGATCGATTTTGTATCGTCTTTATTAGATTACACCTCTATATGTATATATATAGCTACAGCATTGCAAAACACTCGCCTTTTTACTGAAATTTAGGGGTGATCGCACTTTGAACGTGTTGCTACGATGTTATAAAATTAACCTCATTAATATTTTACATTTAATGCCGATAAAATGTCAGTACACTCGGTGGCTAATAGTTTAATTCTGAGCATTCTTATTTACAGTGTTGTGGAGGTTAACTCTGGTAAGAAAAAAATGTATACATTTTTTTGAAGTACATTATTTCCATTCGCATGCACTGCGTTACATATAAATAGCTTTATTCGATCACATATTAAATATCACAGTCACGAATTACTGAGGCTGCAGCATAAGATAAGAATTAAAAAATGCATTTATTAAAAAAAACATAAAGCTATAACAATATGTAAAAAAGTTATGACTGTAACGTTATCACTGTAACTGTGTGCGATATTGTATAAAGTTATAACTTATTTTATTATAACTTATTGCATAAAAGTAAAAAGTAAAGTAACAGCCTATACATGTCCCACTGCTGGGCAAAGGCCTCGCCTCTATATAGAGGGTATCAGGGCATAGCACCACGCGGCCCCACTGCGGATTGGCGGACTTCACATATCCTCGAAATACATTATTTTTGTTATTATTTTGAAAATATGCAGGTTTCCTCACGATGTTTTCCTTCACCGCGGAGCACGTGATAATTCAGCACTTAAAGTTAAAAACTTCATTGGTGCCGGCACCGGGGATCGAACTCAGGTTGCTCGAGTATATATTGAATTAAAGGCGAGCGCCCGGACACTGAGCTATCACGGCTCATCTTATTGTATAAAACAATATAATTGACTTTATTATGACATATTTACATAACCGAATTTTAAAACATATTCCCTTACTATTGTACAGATTTTCAAGTGAATGTTCTTAGTCATAAAAATCAATTCATTAGCGGGATATTTAGCTCTAGCTATTTATTAATTATAAAATAAATTAACTAAAAAATTTAAACCTACAAATGTTATAAAAGATAATAATTATAAAGTAAATATTCAAATAACATGCTAAGGTATGAATATTTTTCAATTAATTTATTCTTTTTCCTCTCATAACGGTTTCTTTTAGGCAGTTCATGTAATTATTCAAATGAAAAGCCTTGTGCAGCCAGAGCTATAGAGGGAGAATCTGTAGTATGTGTCTGCAACATCACATACTGTGATGAGTTCACAAGAGAACCACTCGTTTCAGGAACATATTATGTTGCCTACACTTCGTCTAAGGTAAGGATTTCTTTAAACTACGAAAATAAAGTACGAACAAATTTGCTTCTTAGAACCAAGTAGATGGTAAAAAATGTATTGTCATTTGCAACTAAATACTTTTTGCCTCTTTAAAATAATTTCTGCTAAATGTGATGTATTTATTAGCCACTGCCCCCGCCGGGATAGGTAAGTGTCTCGGGCGCTCGGTTTAATTCAATAAATTCGGGGAACCGATGCCAGTGAACTTGTCGATTACTGGATAGAGGTACTGAATTATCACGAGCTCAGTGGTGAACGAAAACATCGTGAGGAAACGTAGGCGTCTTCAAGGCAAGAGTGATTAGGTTTCTACTGAGCTAGCGCGCTTACCATCAACGGCTGCATCGCCACCTACCATGTGGTGGGATGGCAGTCAAGTGATGCCAGTTTTGAATTAAAAAAACCTGCATAATTATTTTCTAAATATAAAAAAATATATTTCCAAGATATGTATAGTCTGCCAATCCGCAGTTGGATCCCGTGGTAGACTATGTCCCTCTGCGATAACGCGCGGTCGTCGCAAACAAGTTTTTAAGCGGAATAGTATTGGGGCCACAACGAAATGGCGCGAAATATATGGCTTGGCCCTCGGGAAAAGGTTAAACTTTTATGGAGTGGAGATGTATTTAGTTTGAAAATTTGTTTTTATTATATGTCAGTATTTTATTATATTATTTTATTTTTATTATACAATTGACCACGACCCCAGAAAAGGCCCAATGCTATGTTGGCAAAAAACGTCTAAAAACTCTGTACTTTTAACTTACAACTCTGTATTTACTATTAGATTTGGATGAATTTTTTGTGGTAAGGTGGGATATCGATGTTATAAAATTAGTATTAATCTACCAATAGTAAAAGTGACTAGCTGTTGCATGTTCAGAAACGTTATGAGGTCATAAAGGAAAAACAAATATCCTCAATCAAATGTCAGTTCACCCCGTTTTCCCTGCGAGATCGTAGATGCTATTTTTATTATTATTTTTTATAATTTATACATTTTTAATTCACTCTTTTCCTAAAATATTAAGCGAGGGTTTTTGTTTTGGTTCATATATTATTTCCATTAAAATTATAGAAAATAAAAATGTTATACACAAATTATACACAAATTCCAAATTACGCTTCGAGTTGAGAGAAAACCGTAAGGAACATCGACCGCACACCGAATTTTTAATATTTTTTATTATTCAGGCAGGTTCACGGTTTCGAAAAAGTTATGGAAAATTTATTTCACCGACTAATACAAGTAAGTGTGCTTACCTATATTATATATATGTTTATTGCAATAACGAAAAATGTATAAATATGACTTAATAAAAGTTACAATTCATGGTCCCACGGTTGAGAGAGTATGATACGCTAGCTTTTTTTAACTGCGGAAGGGCCACGCAACAGTGTTCGCTGTTGCACGAATGCGCAGGTCCGTCCGGGTAAGTACCACGACCTCACAGAAGACCGGAGTGAAGTAGAAGTGCGTTACACTTCTGTGTTTCGCCTGGTGAGTGAGGTAGCCAAGACCCATTTTATTAAAAGGTGGCAACGCATCTGCAACCCTATCGGTGTCCATGGGCGGCGGTTCCCACTTAGGTGAGGCTCGTTTGCCACTTTCACACAAAAAAATAGACTAAACTTTCCTAACCATTTCTAACGTTGGATCCTAAGAAAGTTCTACCTTTCTCGCCAAGAACCTTCTAAACTCTAAGCATCGGCATGCTTACCATAAAATTTGAATTTAGCTTAGCACTGCACATTTTCTTAACAGTGATAGTAAATAACATAGATTTAGCAACTTCAATAGTTTGTTCCTAGAATCTTTGACTGACGAAAGTAGCAGCAGTATGTTCCGTTAAGTGCTTATCTAACAGGCTTTAGTAGTTTTTAGGGTTCTGTACCAAAAGGGTAAAACGGGACCCTGTTACTAAGACTCCGCTGTCTGTCTGTCTGTCTCTCCGTCTGTCACCAGGCTGTATCCCATGAACAGTGATAGCAAGACAGTTGACAAAATATTTAAGGGCTCACATACCACAGACATGATTTTTTTACCGTTTTTGTAGTACTCTTTCTTGTATATCTTGTACTGACTCGCACTTGTTAGTTAAGGAAACTCCAGGTTCGGATACATTAGGCAAGGCCAATGTTTCCTAATCTGGGTCCCCTAAAATAAATTATAAAAATAATCTAGTAATTCAATTCATTCTTACTTAATTAATGGCTGATTTTTTTTTATTTAGGCAGTGGTTGCATTACAACTTTGAAGTTAGATCCAACGAAGAAACATCAGAGGGTGGAAGGCTTTGGTGGCGCGATTACTGATGCTGCGGGTATCAACATAATGAGCCTACCATTTGTTATGCAGGAATCTTTGATCAAGTAACTATGTTTCAATTATATAATATCTCTGTACAAGAAGTATATATTAATACAAATAATAATTTGGAACATTGTTATAATCACACCATGGATTGACAGGCTACATCTATTTTCGAAATATGTTTTGATTATTATTCCGAATGCAGATTTGCTCACGATTTCCACACTGTTGAGCATGTGATAATTTGAACTCAGGTTGTTAGAGTATGATATATTCGAAGCGATCTCCCGGACGCTGAGCTTTAAAACTTTCCTTATAATCTTGTAGTAATTCTCTCTTTGATTATCTGATTTTTGTGAGGGAAGTTTCGGATTTAATATCCCGAGCATCGAATTCGGAATATTGAATGTCTAGATAGGTGTTCGGCCGTATACCTGAGGCGTATAAAAAATTAGTTTTGTGTTTTTTGGATTCCTCAGGTACAAAAATCTACGTCTCACATTTATTCCCTTCGCTAGACGAACCATGTCGTTCTTTTTTATGCCTTTTTTGATGTTCGTTTTGATGTCTTCCTTATGTGTTCTAAGCAATTTTGAAGCTTCATCATTAATCATTCTTTCTTTTAGTTCCTATTTTAGTTCGCGCGGTCTGGAGTACAACATGCTGCGTGTGCCCATCGGTGGCACTGACTTCTCAACTCATTATTACGCCTATAACGAGGTCCCTGCCGACGACCCCGACCTCACCAACTACACACTGTCGTACGAGGACTACAATTACAAAGTAAATGTTTCTTTCACCTAAGCATGTGTTCGATTTCACTACATATAACTTTTAAACCGAGTACCTATAGTTACTTTTGTAGAGCCATACAACGACTTCTGTTGTAGCTCGAATGTGCAGGCGCATGCCACTTTTTTAAGGGTTGGAAACGCATCTGCAAGCATTCGGGTGTCGCGGATGTCCATAGCGACGATATTCACTTAAACCCCTTCCTCAATTAAATCAACAATTTATTTTAAATTGCGGCCCTTGGATACGGTAACGAGTGCGAAGGAAAATGTGAGAAAAATGAGAAAAAAAAATTGTAATTGCTACAGTGATACCATATACATATATTATGAACGAACGAATATAAAATAATGAATCCGTGGCGCAGTGGTAAAATTGTGGCTTCGGAGGACTATTTGTTAGACCCGCAGATAGTTGTTTCGCAACTGGATGTTTTTTCACGTGAATAATATGTTTGTAAAACGTACAACACAGGATCATGTTATCCTAAAGTACGGGCACTGTTTTTAATAAAAAAAAATGTAAGCTTCAGAATAGACATTGCATAGTTAAAGAAATATTTTGAACGTTATAGGAATCAAAATAACAGGATACAAGGATGTTATTGTAAAAATTAAAAATGATTTATTTATTTGTTTTCGTTAGTATTCATGCATGAAATTGTTAATTATCCACCTTGCTGATGCACCTGGAAATATCTGTTGGCAAATAAATTACTTACAAAAAAGTCAGTATAAGTAAAATCAGTTTAGTCTGCTACAAAAATATGAACAATTCGGAGCTCTAGTAAAAACTAGTTCAAATTCGGAGTACTAGGTACGTTATAATTACTGTTTATCGAAGTAATATGAATAATAATTAATGAATGTATGTATACAGACATATATGTATACAGACATGTATGTATAATTAATGTATGTATGTATACAGACATGTATACAAAAGAGCCGTGATAGCTCAGTGTCCGGGCGCTCGCCTTTAATTCAATATACTCGAGCAACCTGAGTTCGATCCCCGGTGCCGGCACCAATGAAGTTTTTAACTTTAAGTGCTGAATTATCACGTGCTCCGCGGTGAAGGAAAACATCGTGAGGAAACCTGCATATTTTCAAAATAATAACAAAAATAATGTATTTCGAGGATATGTGAAGTCCGCCAATCCGCAGTGGGGCCGCGTGGTGGACTATGCCCTGATACCCTCTGTATAGAGGAGGCCTTTGCCCAGCAGTGGGACATGTATTGGCATGTATTGGGACATATATTACTTTACTTTTTTTGTATGTATTTTGTTGTTTTTGGTCAGTGTCATATGAACACCGACTTCATTTGAGATGAATGTGCTTTCACTACGGATCTCCATTCATATTTCGTCTACGGTTACACACGCGGTTAACTTCAAAATTTCTTAAAAAAGAAACAATGGAGCAGCGTCGTTGATATTGCATGATTAACGACGGAGCTTGTAGAAAATATCACGCAATTTTTATTTTTTTATGGTCATGGAATAGCCTATATTGAAAAAAATTTGAACGGCAGAAAACAAATACGTAAAGCAAAACTTTGAAAAAATATATATAACATTCATTTGATATTATACTCATAATTCAATGTAACGAAAGATCTTCGGCCTAGACCACTGGTGATTACATCACAGCTTACCCTCTGGTTGGATAGTAGTCTACCAGACCTACTACCAGACCACTAGCCAGGTTTTGATTAAATATCCTTTCACTCATTCCTTGGTGTCATGTTATTGATTGCCGGTGATCAATCTTTCAAAAGGTTGTCAACGTATCTGGAACCCTCGGGTGTGGCAGATGTCCATGCGGCGGTATTCACTTAACATCAGGTGAACCGTCTGCTCGTTTGGCAACTTTTCACATAAAAAAAAATCAAAATTTGCATTTATGTGTTGGAAGAGCATGGATAAACTGCAAGATGCGATTTGCGGGATGGTAATGTATTTAATGTGCACTTTATGTGGTAGTTGGTGCTTCATCTGATAATGATTACCGCACCAGGTTTTCGGTAATTAGAGAGACAAAGCAAAACCCCCAACAAGCTGTAGACCTGTTATGATATCACTGCTTACAATGAAGTTAGATGGTAATAGATCACTAGATAGGTTGAGATAGAAAATGTCAATAATTGGTAATGATCACAATTCAATTAATTCTTACCTGAACCAATCTATTTGCCATGTTTGTAGTTGCCGGTGATCAAAGCCTGCATGGATGTGGCGACATCGCCTGTGCACATCGTTGGATCGGTGTGGTCGCCACCGAAATGGATGAAGGACCCCCCGGAGATTGCGGGCGTAAACCATTTGAAGAGCAAATACTTGCAGACTTACGCGTTGTATCATTTTAAGTAATTGCATAAAATCATCAGTTTATTTGGTTAACCGATTGTAAAGACCTAGAAAAAGATTACTACAATTTGATTGTCTGATCGATGAATCTGTGGCGCAGTAGTCAAGGTATTGGCATCGGAGACGGGGTTGTGGGTTCGGCGGGACGTGGGTGGGCATCGGCGATCGGGGTCGTGGGTTCGATTCCCACTCGAGACAAATATTATTAATTTTTTTTATTATAGGCTTAATTTAATTTCCAAAACATGTAGGTTTCAGGACCTTATTTGTTAAATTATACCAATAAAATTAATATGACCACTTACAAATTAATGATATCATCCCAATGGAAGACATGATTATAATTGTACATTTTTGCCGGGCTACTGTTATTTTAGCAGAATACATCATATTATTCTAAATTGAACAGGAGGCTAGGAAATAAATATAGTTTGATTTCAGGTTATAAAAAGCCGTTATAGCTCAGCGTCCGGACGATTTAATCAATATAATGGAGCAGGTTCGACTCGAACTCATGTTGAGTCCAAATCCCGTTGTGCACCAATGAAATTGTTTACTGCAATTAGTGCTGTCTTTTCATGTGGTCAGCGGTCAAGAAGAACATAAGTGAGAAATCTGCATAATTTCGAAATAATACAACCAATAATACAACAGTTGATATAATGCAAAAAATATATCGAAGATATGTAAAGGCTGCCAATCCACAGTGAGGTCACGCTATGACGCTATGGCGCTACTCTGACTCAGAGGCCTTTATCTGAAATTGGGACGTTTATAGGTCAATACGTTACTTTACTTTACTTTTACCGTTTATAGATCCAGCAATAGAAAATTTACAATAAAATCAGATATATAGATTTCCCGCCAAACGAAAATACGAGATGTGGATAAAATGTTGTAAAAATAAGATTAGTATAATTAGTATAATAATACAATTCGTTGGTTCCATATACTGAATTTTTTATTTACAGATTCTTGCAGTTGTACTCGGAAAATGGAGTCCCACTGTGGGCAATCACGACAACCAACGAACCACTCAACGGCGTGCTCCCGGCGGGCACCTTTCAACACCTGGGATGGTCGGCTAAGGAAATGGTGAGCAATTAGTCGCAGGTTCGAATCCTGGCGGCGGCAATTTTGCGATAGTTTATTTTTTATGTGAGAAAGTGGCATACGAGCTGGTGTTACCTGATGTTAAGTGATAACCGCCGCCCATGGAAATTTGCAACACCCGTAGGGCTGAAAATGCGTTGCCACCTTCAAATAAAGTGAGCCCCTGCTACCTCACTCATCAGACGAAACACAGAAGTGTAATACTTCTACTTTACGCCAGTCTTCTTTGAGGTCGTGGTTTTTACCTGGACGGGCCTGCCCATTCGAGCAACAGTGAACACTGTTGCGTGTTCCTACCACAGTTAAACTACTCTTACTCACTCCACAATTTTTTAAGATTCATTTTAAGATTAGAGACTAGCGCCTACAATTAAAAATGACATGGTAATTGCTTTCGTTTAGACAAGATGATCTCCGAATGATCATTCATTACAAAAATAGGGTCTCACACCTATAGACTATATCGGGGCAGGCAAAGCTTAGGAAACAACATTGCTGCACGCATATTTAGTGTCGGAGTGGTGAGTATGGTTGTTAGTGTAAAGAGCAAACACAACACAAGTTATTTTTGTAAGTAAGAGAATCGGTAAATAGAAAACTAGTATTGCACATTTTTATGTGAAAATATTGCAAGCGGTTCCCCTGGAGTTAAATGATAACCGCCGCCAATCGACACTGATTTGTAACACCTGTCGAGGATTTGCAATTCTTGACCTTAAAATCGTGCATCTGATATTCCGGCATGGAATATGACGGAATATCCTTTACTACGTATATTGTTAATATAAAGGTTATATCTTAATAAATAAGCATACTAACAAAATTTAATTATACTTTTTTATCTCTTGTAACTGGCAATAAACTATATTTATAATTTAGTTAATCAAACCATACTTTGAATCATTAACTAATCCTAACTAACTCGAGTAAGTATAATACCCATTACAAACGTTGCTTGATTAAAGTGTGTCAATAAATGTTCGATATTTTTTTCTTTTTACTCTTAATTCAGGGCAGTTGGATACTTGATAATTTGGGTCCTACGATTCGCAATTCATCCTTCAAAGACGTGAAAATACTTGCCGTGGATGACCAGCGCTTCTCCATACCCATATGGTTTAACAATGTAAGTTAATTGTACCATCGCTTTACATTCTATTAAATTTCGTTTATATGTATTACCAGTTACATAAAAATTGTATTAGAAGGAATCAGGAGTAATCGATTGATGGTTTTGGATGAAACATTAAAAACTTAAAATTTTCATATCAAAAGGCAAATCGGGAACTGAACTCCAATCTACAAATAAACACGACGATCACTATAGTTATAGACTTTTTAATTAGAATGTACATTATTTTTACCCAAGTTCTGCTTTTCTGCTAATTTTTTTTCTCTCAAAAATTTTACTTACAAATCAGATATTAACTTCGTGTGTGCAAATTTTATGAGATTTGTTAATACATACTAGGCATGAAACTCTTTTGAAATTAAATAAATTTTTAGATGGTAACAAATTGTTTTTTAAAATGTTTATTCTTGGACCCAAAATACTCTATTGTCAATCCTGTGGTGTTGGAAATATTTTTATTATAAATCATAAAAATGAGATCACTTCAAATTCTTTCTATTGTCTGAACAAATTAAAAACAAATATTCACTGGATAAATACAATTACAGGTGATATCTCAAACGCCAGGATCTGAAAAATACATAGATGGCATAGCGGTGCACTTTTACTTTGACAACTTTACGCCTGCGTCTTTCTTGAAGGACGCCACGAAAAGTTATCCTAACATTTTCGTCATATCCACTGAAGCTTCCGAAGGTAAACTAAAACATAAAAATAAGTAATAAACGTTATACATAAAAATAAGTAACAATAGATATTTGAAAAAGGTCACCACAACAAATCATGTTTAAATCAGATCACTTCAAATTCTTTCTATTGTCTGAACAAATTAAAAACAAATATTCACTGGATAAATACAATTACGGGTGATATCTCAAACGCCAGGATCTGAAAAATACATAGAAGGTATAGCGGTGCACTTTATCACCAATGAGTATCAGATGTAGTGACGTGTAAATTGATATTTTGACGTTTACTTCCTTTTTGTGTTCGAATAAATCCTATATGCGCTCCCTTTTATTGCCTGGCTGTGGAGGGATGATGCGTAATGGTTTTCGAGAGTATATAGGACTGACTGTGTACAATTCTGTCTCAATCTTTGCACGCTCCAGTGAAGAATCCTTTTCACGGATTTTAACATAATGGGGAGTCTTAAGATTCGTCTCTGTTGTGGGAGTGACTCAAATATAGCGGAATTTTTAGTGTTTTAATGCAGCTTGTTTCATCTCAAATTTAAATCCCGTAAAATTAGTCTCTCATTAAGGGTTGATGTTCGGGCACTAGGCCATAAACATTTTGTTTCCCACACACGTTTGTTATTAAATTATTGTTGTGTCATTTTACTTCGTGATTATTTTGTCAATACTTTATCACTATATCAACAAGATGTTCGTGTATATTTTACATTGCAGATAATATTGAATTATAAATAATAACTAAACAATTAAAGAGATTTTAACCGTGAATAATCTTTCTTCCAGGTGCCGGTTCAAAAAGACCTGTTGTTCTCGGATCATGGGAGAGAGCAGAAAGTTATATAATTGACATATTAGAAGTAAGTATTTTCTCAATTTTAGGATACACTGTTATGTTAAGTGTTAATATTATTCACAAGTTGAATTTCATTCCATGATAGAAACAAAAGAAACTTTCCTCAATAAGATTATATCTTTGTCCGTTAGTCCGTTCGCTACTTTCAACAATAACTTTAATTTAATAAAATTTTAACGCACGAAGTTCACTATTTGTACGTCTTAAACATTTCTTTTAGGATTTATGCAACGACGTAGTGGGTTGGATCGATTGGAATATGTGCCTCGACATGAGAGGGGGTCCGAACTGGGACAAGAATTATGTAGACTCGCCTATCATAGTAAACGCCGAAAAGCAAGAGTTCTACAAGCAACCGATGTTCTACGCGTTGGGTCATTTCAGCAAATTCGTGACGCGCGGCTCTCGAAGAATCGAGATTACGAATACAACCATTTGTAAGATGCCAAAGGAACATGGTATTTACAATGTGTAAGAAATTTATTTCTTTATACATAATTTATTCCGTGGCATTATCAATCAATATCGCCAATATTGTCATGGTGAAAAGTACATGATAGGTGTTGACTAAAGAATAAAAATAAATTATTGAAGTTCGGCCTAAGTATATATTGTATAGCCATGATTTTGATCAATTTATTATTTAGTACTAATTGGTATTACCATGACAACCAATCCCATTTATTTGACATTTACCTATAATTCCAAGATAAAACTGTTATTAATTGCATCTTTTTCGCAAACAGAGTACTAAGCACAGGGGATAAAATTATCAGTTATTTTTATTTTATTACAATTAAGAAGTATAACTTCTTACGTGCGTACAAAGACACTTTTTATTAAGCTAAATCATAATTCATGCTGTATGTAAAAGTACTAGTTTACATCATTCCCGCGTTATTTTCACAGACAGAAAATAGATGAATGCAACCCTGATAAGAACATAGCATCGTACGACAGTGTCGCCTTCCAGACCCCAAACAGCACAAATGTTGTCATCATTCACAACAGGTGATTAGCGTCCTGCCTTTTGTCACTAGCAACCCGCCCTGGTTTCGCACAGTTGCAATACCGAATATTTGTTTTCGACATCGCATTAGAAACCTCTAAAATTATCAGTGTTTCTCTACTATATTATGCATGAATTACATATATAAACCTTCCTCTTGAATTACCCTATCTATTAAGGAAAACCACATCAAAATCTGTTGCGTAGTTTTAAAGAAGCATATACAGGGATATAAAGACGTCAGGACGACTTTGTTTTATACTATTTAGTTATGTAGTGATACCCACTTATGATATGGCCAAATGAAGGATAAAATGAAAGCAAGGGAAGATTTTTTTAGTAAAACTGCCAGTTGTGAACTCCCATCGGAAATCAAAACAGGCAAAACCGAATAGCAAACAGAACTGCGTAACGGCTTTTCGCGTTTGGTAACAACTTGGCTTGATTTGGAAAACTATTGCTGAGGGGCTGGATTTTAGTATCGCAAATATCTATTATATAAACAATTTTTCAGGTCATTTTGTCGCCATTTGTATATATTTCTATATTTTCTTGTCATGTTTCTTTCAGAGGCATTGAAAACCCCGTGGTGATTAAATATGGTGACAAAGAAGCGACCCTGCAACTGGAGGCGGCTTCTATAACTACCGTTGAATTCCCAGCAGAATTCAACGATTGAATATTAAATGTCATAAAGGTGGTAAACTATGTAGTGTTTGTAACGTTTTTTTGGTTTGCGTTTGACTTTGTTTTAAATATTTCTTAAGTGTTTCCTTCCTGGGTCTCAATAAACAATACTTAATTTTAGGGAGGGTATTTTTAAATTACGTAACATATAATGTTTTTAGTTAAATAAAATTATTTCACGGATATGTAGTTTTTTTTCTGGCTAAATTACGCTAAAGTTATGGGGAAAAGTGATTTACGGAATCATTTTAGCGAGATCAAAATCTACGTCTTGATGACAGCGAGAAAAAAAACCGGTCAAGTGCGAGTCGAACTCGAGGGTTCCGTACATTACCATTATACCGCGATAATAAAATTGGTAATTATCACCACCGATTTTCTCAGGAATTGGTGGACCTAGCAAGTTCAAATTTATACCAGATACTGAGGTCTATAGTACCTATTAAGTGTATAAAAATCAAGTCTTGGGTCAACACGATGAAAAGATATGGGCAAATTTAGATTTTAAGTACCAAACTTTACTTTAATTTTTAACTTTTTTTTTCTGAATTTTCCCACTGCTTGTGCTGTATGCTGTATGACCTTGCTTTTAATCAAAATTGACAATTCTAGGTTCACCGGGTTTTGGGTCCAAAACCTATATGGTAGTTTTCGTTGAGATAGAATTACAAAATTTGGCAAAAAAATAAACAAGGGTTCCTTTTTTTACCTATACAGTACACAACCCTAAAAACGGAAAGTTACGCAAATGTAGAAGAAGTTAAGCTTCCTAGTAACTATTTAATTTTATGTAGATAAGAATGGCTATAGTACAGGCCACGTCTGGCGGCTGACAAGTGAGCTACGCGCGTAGTCCTCCGAAGGTACAGTCAAATCAGCAATTGGGATTTGGCACACGCTTGTCACTTTTGCAAATAATAATAAAATCCAGAAATGAATTATGAAAAGAAATTCCATAAGGTTAGACGCTGTTTGTTTTAAAAAGAATTTGTATTATATTTTCGCATAAAATTATGGAGGAACCTATTAAAACATTACGGGCAGTGGGCAGATGTACCCTCACCGTTCACCATTGCTATTCATACTCCTGATACTCGCTAGTACTGGCGATGTTGCAAATGTCTATGGGCGGCGGTGATCACTTACCATTAGTTGACCCGCATGCTCGTTTGCCTCCTTTTCCCATAAAAAAAATAGTACGTAACGCATTAAGGCTTACTTTACAGCGATAAACGAGTTTGGCATGGCCTATAAGAGTCGCGGGCAACTGGTAAATGGCACACTGTCGTTCATTGTTCAATAGTTGGCGTCTTCTGGCTGATGATGAATATCAAGATTACTAATGTATGGACCGCCATACTTGTATTGCAGCTATTGGATGACCTATAGGAACTTCAAAATTTTTTACACCTCCTGAAACACCCCAAAATATTATTACCACAAGAGTTTTCTTTCTCGATGTCGCAATGGAATTTAGCAAAGTTTAGCATAATGGCTTACGTTACAAGCAGTTCGCACTCAAAGCGCCAAACAGGCCCGTACATACCATCCGAGCCTTCCTTTCGAATGGCTCCGTTCGGTCTGGAGTAGAAGGCAATCTCTCCAAAAGCCGCCATCTCTGGGCAGACTTAACTAATACACGTGAAAAAGCTTAACACGAACTTTTGTTGCTTGCGTCAATTTGCGTTTGCATACGAACCATAATGTCCAGCAATAAATTTCAGGTTATTTAAAATAAACATTCACCTCGCAACCAGTGCTAGGTGGAGCCAGCATAATGTCGAACTGCATAGCGACTGCAGACTCCCGATCCTACGCGATCACTTCAAAGAGTTAACCAAATGGTTCATCGAAAACCATTCTATGTACCAGTGCGTTACTAATCGTACATTGTTTCATTGAACTTTTTAACCTTATGACACGATACAGCAAGAATAACTGATTTATTGACACTATCACTAAAGTACATTGTTATTTATTAACGTTTCCTACCTATCGCGTAAATAAAGACAGGTCGTTGTTAACCTTAATGGCTCCCCCATTATAATATATTAATAAATAGTAGTAATAGGCAATGAATAGTACATTAAGTGCAGAGCAAAGGCTTATCAAATTTATGTTTTTAATCTATTAAGCGTGGTGAAAACGCAATAGCACTGCCTATCTCATTAAAAAATTATTTTCGCTTTCTACAATGTCCCACATAATCGAAACTGTTAAAACACTGGGAATATCGAAGTGCAAATCGTGGGTTAGGATCATATTGGCGTAGATAGTAGTTTAAAACGGGCCTAGTTAGATGAAGATATTATGTAATACTACTAAAAGGCAAATCATAACAACCAAAGTGGTATCACCACCGTTATGTTTGTATTTAATGATGTTCTTTCTATCCTTAGACAAAGCATTATTGAATACAGAGCTCGTGAAACGTATCCTCCCGGCGGCGTTGGGGTATGGTAGTGCAGGTAGACGTTTCTAAATGTCGCCTTGCACCGGTGACAAAGCGGATAAATATTGCGTAGTACCTGAGTATGTACAAATTAACCATCTTTTCATAAATTTAATAAGCATGGCTAATACTTTTTATACGAGCGATGTATTGCGAGTATCTAAAAAATTTGAGAAGATATCAGGATTTTTTCCTTGTTTAAATTTAACTTGAGGCTTTTTATTATGTTTACAAGTTTGACAGTAGTAAAACTGTTAACATGATAAAAAGTCTTGTCTATCTTCAAATTCCGTCAGTCGAAGTAAAAAGGTTGAAGGTTGAATTTGTTGAAAATTAAAAGTAGGCTGGGGCTCTCTATTTAATATATATTGTAATCCATACAGTCATATTACTTGCAAAGATTACAGAATATACCGTAAGTAAAGTAGAAAAATTAGGAAAAAAGTTCTTTAAGCTTTTCTCTCACCTTAATTTATTTCGAAATAAGACCTGATTGTTATTTAATCTCTTTATTTTCTCTAATCAAGATCAATCATCAATCAACAAGCTTCATATGAATTGTTATCTTTTGAAGCGGAGTGTTCAAATTCCCCATTTGGTTTACATGATGAATACGATACGTGCCATAGCACAGCGTGGCAATATGAATGGTCAATCTGAGATGTTTTTAAGGTAAAGTCTATAAAATTTCTGTATGACACTGTTTCCATCCGGTTATCATTTTTGATTTATTCCGAAAAATGGCTTTCTCAAAATAAAATAACAGAAAGACAACTTAATATTTTTGAATTAATAAAACAAAAATAGTATTAAGCACTGAGAGTACGATATGGGTACCCTTACTTTGACTATCTAGACTGGTAAGCTGATGCTAAATAAACAGACCATTTATCTTCATATTGTACTATGACATCACTATCTCATTTTAGCAGTGGGTGCGAAAGAGATGACTGTAGTTTTATCAAGTCCTATTAGTTTTTATTGAGCTTCTACTGGTTTGCTTACAGTGAACTCGTATAAATGAAATCAGTTAACTCTGAGTACACTACTAAAAAAGACATCTTATGTGTTAGTATTTTTCAAAGTATGTACGTAACATAAGTGAGAGCGCAATGAAATATTCAATTACAATTTCTTCATTATTAATACTATATATTGTTAGCCCTGGCAGTTTAGGTGAGTTAATTATTATAATTTCATTATAAAAAGTTATTATGAATCATACAGATTTTTATACGACGTAATTTACCTATTAGGGCTTTAATTTATTTCTTAGTAATAATTCGACTAAAGGGCGACTACTAGTTACAGCGCATGTTATAGTTGTAACTTTAAAATATTATCGCGAAAAAAACAAGCCTCGACGTATGTAATTCTATATAATAATTAAGATTGAAAAGTCATAAACTGTATCATATCGCTGTATAGAATGCAAAAGCAGATTACATCGATTATAAATAGAGTTGAATAAAAAAAACAAATTAGTTAAAGAAACATGTAAATTATTATTATTATTATTACTCGCGATCCGCCCGGCTTCGCACGGGTGCAATGTACTATACGTATAAACCTTACTCTTGATTCACTCTATCTAGTAAATAAACCGCATCAAGATCCGTTGTGTAGTTTTAAAGATCTAAGCATACATAGCGACAGACAGGCAGGGGGATGACATTTATAGCCGTATATATGGTGTAGGTATTAGCAATTATCTTCATTGGATTTTAACTTGTAATCGTAATGATGGAAGGAATCGATTGGTATAAGAACAATAATGATTAATTGACTTTTAGCAAGTTACGCTTCTTTTGACGCTTTTACGAGGCGCGCACACTACACAGACACGATCTATGTAAAATGATGTATTTGTTTCATGAATATATGCATGCTTTTTACAGTTTCCATGTCATCGACATTGGAGCGTTAATAACGGTATCAGACATTTACATTATAATTATACTTCAGGCATATTTTTAACACCAATTATAATAATATGATAACGTTTATCAACGGTGAAACGAACAACGTGGTAAATTGAATGAGGGTTTAAGTGGTAAATACCTAGCATACGTGTAATATTTCAATTACTTACGGATTCTAACCCAACAGCAGTAAACCCTACTAAAAGTAAGTAAGGCACTAAGCTTCGAAACTCGAAGTCTGAATTCCTGTCGTCAAACACTGCGCTCAATTATGAGAAGACGAATTTATACTAGTTCATACAATTAAAGTTTGACCTCATAGACGTTTTACAAGCATAAATTTCCCGTGGACAAGCGCCCAGATCCGAAACAATTATGTGTGGGTCACACAAATAGTGGTCACCCACGACTCACGGCGCTGATCTTAATATCTTGGAAACTCCGTCACCGAGTCATCATTAGTAAAATAAATGTACATTGTTAAATAGTTTTATTTAATAACTATTAAACAAACTATGTAAAACGGGAGAAACGAAACGAGAGGTGTCAAGCGAACTGGGGGTTAACAAGTTAACCAAGTCGCTGCCCAAGAGCATCTACAACACCTGTAGGCTTGCCAATGCGTAGGGAACCTTCAATACTAGCACCAGTTACTCAATCACCGACCGAAATGCGGAAGTATTATGGTTTCCACTTTACGTTAGTCTTTTGTAGACCTGACACTGGAATATTTATGCAATAGCAAACCTTAGGCGTGTTTCTGCTACAGTATTCGTGTATTTAATATGTGGTAATTACATCAGCGATCAGCGGTGAAAGTCCCAGCCGTAAAAAGATACAGTTTAAAAAAAAAATATATTATTTTGGTACATTTACCGTGTATTATAACCGTATGCATTTAGTATAAAGTGGTTATAGACACTCCAATTTTATTTATTTGACTGAATGCCTGCATGTAAGATGGTTATGCTGCATATGCGTAGAATTTTGATTTTGTTTATTATGGTTTTCATAGACAAGCCATGTGCAGCGCGACAGGTAAGCGGACGCTCTGTGCTCTGCGTTTGTAACTCAACTTATTGCGATGAAGTAGAGAGGCAGAGGCCCGATAAGAATGGTTTCATCGCCTATACGACATCCAAGGTAAAATATTAACTATTAGCTGTTATTCTATTAGATTTTACCACCATTATAACGAATCATGGAAGAAGAGGAGCGTTTCATGTCGATAAAGATCCGATTTTTCTAGTTTTGTAGCAAAAAAAAGCTTGAGCTTTACCTACTCAGTAACTCAGTTTTAAGAAATTCATTTGAAGTAGTTTAAAAGATGAAAAAGTAAAAAGTGACAGTTTGATACAGTAGTGGCAGTTCGAGAGGTCGTTTTGGTACAAGATAATTGTTTAATATTCGTATCTGGATACAGAAATTCCAATAAACACGTATGTTTTATTTGTTTATAGGCGGGGTCACGGTTTCGAAAAAACGTAGGATATTTTCAACCTACGAATAACCAATGTAAGTGTGTATACCATTAGCAATAGTATTCCACTGAATACAACTGACTTAAAAGCGTATACAAATTAAATACGAAATTATTGTTATTACGTTTTATTTTACAGTAAAGTGCTGTAAGACAACGCTAACGATAGATCCGACAGAAAAACACCAAAAGGTTGAGGGTTTCGGCGGCGCAGTCACCGACGCAGCTGCGATCAACTGGAAGAGCATGCCCGAAGAACTGCAGCAACATTTGATCAAGTAACGGTTGCTAACATATTAACTGAATATACGTAGAGATTTCCGCGCGGTGATGATGTCGACTATTCTAACTTAGTGGTAAAAAGCGGTAGTTTCGTCTACACATTAGAGCAGAGACGTGCACTAAAAAAAACAAATTCAAATTAAATAGCAAAGGCGACATCTTTAATATTCAAATATTCACAAAATCGCATTAGTTATCCAAATCAAGTTTTTTTAGCAAATTAAAAAAAAAAAAAAAATCAAAGTAGATAAGATGTCGCGATTTTCGCGCGGTGCTGATATTGAGCGCTTACGTTAGTGGCTAGAGCGTCTGGTCGTAATCGGGAGGCATTAGTTTGAATGCTGGCTGTGGCAAAAAAAATTGTAGATTATTTTATTTGAACATTTTTAAGTTTAATTTTAAGACTACAAGAGACTAGTACTAAAAATAAATATGTATCCATGACGACTGATCTATCCATACTGTTCGTTACGATCAGGGCGTTGACATATTAAATGTCAACTACCCACGATGACAGTTTTGAGTGATGTATTTTACTAGTGGACTTGGTGGTGTGGTCGAAATTCGACCAAAATTTGTTATACATGGTAGTTTGAGTAATTTTTTTATTGATTTTGTACACACATTATGTGCTCTATAATTGCAATTTATTTGAAATTTCCACCAAGTGTGGCACTGAACGGAACGGAAGTGACGCGCTTACCAGCGAAATGTGTGGACCAATGGGAGAACTTCTGCTCCTGACCTAGGCTCGGAAGGTTCAATCTATTAGTCCTATGTAACTTCGTTCACTACAAAAACATAAGCGACCAGATTTAATGTATTTTTATGCGCAATTAAATGTATAGACTGCCATGAAATATGATCCTGAGCCACCTGCATCCATCGACTTCCCGCACATTTGCACAGGTCGTCACTCCATCTAGTGGGGGGTCGTCCTACACTGCGATGACCAGTACGAGGCTACCACTCGAGAACCTTTCTTCCTCAACGGTTATCGGTTCTATGGGCTATATGGCCGGCCCATCGCCACTTCAGCTTGCTAATCCTCTGAGCTATGTCGGTTACTTTGGTTCTACTGCGGTTTCTTTGTCAGTCTATGGGGGAGGCCTATGTTCAGCAGTGAACTCAAGCAGGCTAAAATGATGATGATGATGAAATGTATAAACTCTTAGAGTGGAAAATTTTATACTTCCCCGATTGCGCAATTTTCGTAAAAAGTTTTTGTTTCCCATATTAATATATAGATTTAACTTTAGTAGTGCAGAGTGAAAGAAGGTTCGTATTCTAATGTATTTTCTATTAAAGCAAACAAATTCGGGCACTGATCCTGAGAGTTCTATTAAAAGTTCAAAGGAAATGAAAACCGCTTCTAGAATATTGTATCCACAAAGATGATCGAGATTCCGATTATAAAAGGCAGTTCAGTAGAAGAAGACGAAGTGAGGGAAGAGTAAGAGAAAAGTGCAGGGTGAAGTTAAAAGTGAGTGAACAGTAGACAAGAGACAAGTGGTGTTACGGCGTACGTGGAGGATTGTTGCGGTAACGTGTGGGCCGTCTGTAGAACCTTACGTGAAGATTGGTGCAGTCTCGAAACTGGGGGATTGGTCCGCAATGAGAGAGTCGTAGGACCTGTAGTAGTACGTGACGATTTATTTGAGTGGTATTGGGGGCCGCTGCGCGCGTGGATGTAATAAAGTAAAAATTTTAAGGACTGGCGTTTCACTCCAATGACGAACCCCTAACTCGTAACAATATTAGGTACTTCAAATTTTTAAAATGTCCATGGTATTATTGGGGGCTCTACTCCTAAACCTCAATTATATGACCCGTCGACAAGGAGAGATCTTATAAAGACTATTGTCCAGCTTAATCTAATAGAAGTGTTTTTAATATTAATATTAATACATAATTTTATTTCATTCAGAAATTATCAAATTTTCGTTGCAATAACCATGTAAATTTGTTCACAATTATAAATTCATAATTAAATAGATATACCTACAATAAATATTTATTAAAAATATTACAATAAATTTTTGTCCTATTTCAACTTAATTATGTTTTGTACCAAAACTCAATGAATGTTGTACATATGATTTTAGGGTCTAGGTCATCGTTATCTTGAGGTTTAGGCAATGCGATAGCTGCTATAAACTGTAATCATATGTTAAACAGTGTTTACGACGTGCGAAGATAGTTTTATTTCAAAACTTATTAGTGGAATTTAGAATAAGAAGCCACAGCAGTTTGTGGAAAATAAGAAGTCACAATAAAGGAATGCGCAAACAGAATGTGAACTTTATTCGTTAACACACATTTCAACTACTAAAACGCCCATTTACATATAGTTTTTATTTTCCCAGTTCGTACTTTAGCGTCAAGGGTTTGGAGTATAACATGTTGCGAGTACCGATCGGCGGCTGTGACTTCTCAACTCACCCCTACGCCTATAATGAATTGCCCGAAAACGATTACAAGCTGTCCAATTACTCGCTCACTACCGAAGATAACAAATACAAAGTGAGTACTGGCAGACCGGAAAACGATAATATTATAGTATATCTTACAATTAAAATCTGATAAATGATTAAATTTTGTTTAGCCTCTTTCTAAAAACGCCTTTTGGAAAAATCAAAAATTTGGAAAAATAATATGTTTACACATTTTATTATGTTTTATATTACGATATCAAATACGAGTACTCAACTCCTACTCTGACAAACATCCGTTGAAGTCTGATTTTCATACAATCTGTTCGGTAAAGAAGAGTGCTGCTATAAACAATGAATAAGTCTAAATCCAGATACCTATGATCGAAGCAATAAACAAGGTGGCCACGTCTCCGGTACACATCGTGGCCACAACGTGGTCACCGCCCGTTTGGATGAAGACCAACCACAAGTTTTCTGGCTTCGGCCAGCTAAAGCAGGAGTTTTACGACGCGTACGCTTTATATCATTACAAGTAAGCACTAATTAAACAAATAATTATGAAAAAAGTCTTTTAAGTTATTGTGTCTGAATTAAGTGCGATTCACTTATATCACTATGTTTGACACATTGTAAAAGTTAATGTAGCAAATTAAGTGAATCGATTGTGTCCGATACACTGGATTGCCTTCAACAATGGTTGCGTAAATAGCGCATAGTCAAAAATTCAAAGGCATTGAAGAACTCCATCTTAAATCGGCAATGGGCTCTTTTCAAATAACTTGGTTGGCAAATAAAATCAAATAACTTGGGTGGAAAATCAAATATCTTGTAGAGATATTTTACTGTTCGTAACTAAAAGTATCCCGCCTAATATTTTACAGTGAAAAAACGCCATAAAACTCCATTTATAGCAACTTCTGTTTATATCAGATTTATAGAAAAGTACGAAGAGGCAGGAATAAAGATATGGGCGATTACAACAACCAACGAACCGATTAATGGTTACTTTGGAATAGCCCCATTCAATTCATTGGGGTGGAGCATATATAAAATGGTAATTTATAGAGAAAATTTTGATTTTTATAGTTAAATAATGGATTTCATACATTAAAGTAACAGCCTGTATATAGCTTTGGCCAGAAGCCTCTTTTTTCCAGAGGTTAATAGGTTAGTACATAGTCCACCACTCAACCCCACTGTCGATTGCTAGACTTCACATTTCTTCGAAATATTTTTTTCTTATTCTTCAAACATATGTAGGTTTTCTCAATACGTTTTACTTCGTCGCTGAGCACGTGATAAGCCAGCACTTAAATTTCCAATTAACCATTTCATTAATTCAGGCACCGAGATTGCAACTCCGAGGTAGCTTGAGTTTTTTTTATGTAATAAGATGGCAAGCGAGCTGGCGGTTCACCTGATGTTAAGTGATAACCGCCGCCAATGGACATTTACAAAACCCTAAGGATAGCAGATGCGTTGCCCCCCTTTTTAATAAAGTGAGCTCTGGCTACCTCACCAGACGAAACGTAGAAGTACCTATAACACTTTCACTTCGCTATGGTCTGCTTTGAGGTCGTGGTACTTCCCCGGACGGACCTACCCATTCGTGCAACAATGAAGATTCCTTTCATTATAATATGCCTATTGATACAATTTAACCTATAGAATTCAACGCGAGTACACTGAAATAAGCTAATATCATGGACGGATTTCATATAATATAACAGTTATATGAAATGCGTAAAAAAGTTCTAGCATATATAGTTATAAAAACTGACCATAAATTTACTAAAATCTATCGTCCTAGGGCGAATGGATCGTCAATAATTTGGGACCGACGATTCGTAATTCCAAATACAGAGACGTCAAAATTCTTACCGGTGACGACCAACGTTTCACCATACCGTTTTGGTTCAATGTGGTAAGTAGATTACATTTTTCAATAATATAAACATTTGACATACAACTGCACATGAGTGGGTAATGTCATCATACTGTAAAGTTACATTTTAAAATTTACAGAGCAAATATACTGCCCGCTTTGTTATTCAATTATCACCGAGCTGACAGATTTCTACACAAACAACACAGCAATTACGTTGTAAACTAAAAAAATCATCGTGCTCTATTCCCAAATTAAGATTATATTATGGGTACTAGATAGCTAATTATAGAAGTCGCTGTCGGAGGCCTCAAAAAAAAACCAATTTGCTTGAACTTATTTATTAGAACTTACAATTTAAACTTAGAACTAAACTGTAGCTAGCCTAACCTAAGTGTGATTCCGATCGATGCTAGATCAAGAATGACTCCCTTATTAAAATAATCGTTAACCAAAGTTCTTGAATACGGTAAGCAGCGGTGTCGACTGGCGACGTTTCCATGGACGTCAGCTATATTGGAAGTCGTGGAACATAGCGGTGTCGCCTGACAACGCTCCCACGAACGTGAGCACGGCCTGGATGTGTAATCCGTTTACACGGTTTCAGCAAAACTTGATCGTGGGATTGTGTCGCGATGTTACGAAGAAGACGCTGCTTAGTTGCACTTTTCTATGGGAACGGATAGGTAACACCTCCCCCCTGAGAACAGCAATTATTTTTGAGTCTTCAGATGATAAAATATTGCTATTTTCTTCGATCCCGAATTTTCAGGACCTTCAGGCGCAGATTCAGCTGCTGTTATCAGTTTCTTCGATTTGCAGCGTCTTGCTATTAGAAATATCAGAATTACAGGTACAATTATTAAAATTATAGTGTAAAACGGGATCGTTGTATGGTATAAGTATCCTGAAGAATCTTGTTCGATTTGCAGGGCTGGTTGCATCATTAAATCATGTTGAGCTTGTTGTAATTTGTTAAGGTTGATCGATTTGAGATATATTTCAGGTGATTTCCCCGAGGGAGTATTTAAAACATGGGGGAGCTTCATTATCTCCATGGGTTGTCCTTCCACTCGATCATTGATGTTAGCAATGGTAAACTCCGTGGTATATAGGAAACAGTTAACAGGAACGGTAGCAAGGTAAGTGCCATTTAGGATGGTGTAGTCTTCGCGTCCGCACTGCGTATGTACTTTCGTAGCATTTGGGAAGGATACTACATAGTGCTTTTCGTCGAGTTCTTCTAAAGATATTCTTGAGAGGGTTACTGTGGTCATTTCGCAGTTTCCTTTCAGAGATTGATTAATAATAGGTTCTTGTATGCAGTCCGGTTGCTGTCAAAGCTGGTGGTCCATCTTCTCGCCGCATATGTACCAGTGGTTGTACTTCGGGCATTCTGCCTCTATGTACACGTAACCTTTCCTGTTTGTTGCTATCAATGGATAAGGAGGGATAAGGGCCTGGCGATATCTATTGGGAGCTACACCTAATTTATATAATATATATGTGTCTAGGGTGAAAACTTGGAGCTTGAATATAATTTCTATTTTACTACTCGAATAAAATATCCAGAATAATAACCAGGTTTAATTATTAAATCAGTAATATTCGCTGGTTTTAAGTCTAAGATCTGCGTTCTCTTATATATTGAAACTAATCGACTAATCATTTGTTTTAAAACTTCAATACTTATCATTGAATGGTGCGTGTTCGAAGAACGGATGAAAGCTAAGGTATTTTCTACCCTAATTAATTCGCCTAAGAGGTCATCGACATTTTGTGTAATAATAGCTAAGTATTGGGCAAATTTTGCATATTTTATAAGGCTAGAGTCACGATGGGCGTTCGAATCTAAGATAATTTTTATGGTGTCATTTATTTTGGCTTGGTTCTGAATTAAGTGTTTTATTATAACAGAATGCTGGACCATCCATTCGTCGTTTAAACTAATAATTAATAAATATTAAATTGATTTAAAATCTTGTAATCGTTATCCTGAAAATTTTGATAGCATTATCGTAATTACAACATCTGATTGGTTTAAGTTACCGGTGATAGTTTTTACAATCCAGCCTAAACCGTCTATGAGACCTCTTTTTACTTGTGTTGGCTCTAGGGTTGCCAAATGACTAAGAACTCTAGACAATTTACTTGATAGGTGTTTTATTTGTAGCTCATATAATATATAAACTTAATTTTTCAGTTGGAACTTTAAATTTACTAATTGTAATTGTAAAAGGCCTATGTTATCCCTAATATATTCGAAGTACTGTATGGTAGTGTGAAATCAGCAATCAATCGTTTCTCCGAGTCGAAATGAAACTACGCTAAAATTCCGTAAGAATAAAGTATAAAGGTTAGTTACATCCTAGTCCTTGTGACTTAATTTTAATATACGGAGGTGCTCTAGTAGTGTGGAGTGAAACCTTTCCACAATTCCGTTATCATTAGGGCTATGCGGCAAGGTCTTATGATGAGTTATATTATGTAAGTTAACGAATTCAGTAAATAACTGGTTTGTAAATTCGGTGCCGTTATCTGAAACTATAGTTAATGGAAGGCCGTGATGTGTGCAAAATTTAATGAGTGCTTGCAAGCTACCGATCGCGGTGCTATCGCGAATATGGTAGGCTGGTGCATATTTAGAGAATACGTCAACGAAGGTTAAATATTTCTCATTTTGGATGGTAAGTAAATCTATATGGACTATTTCGAAAGATTCGCGGGAGAAACCAAATTGAACTGTTGCTTCACGGGATTACGGTCGTACTTCGCTCGAACGTAAATGGTGCAATCGTTAATAAATTTTGTAATGTCGTCTTTCATTTTATATCTCTTTTCATTTAATATAGACGAGATAAAGCTATGTGGCATTCGTTTATACCGCGGTGATTGGTTTTTTCCTCATGATAATGTTTTATAACAGGAAATATGTTGACGTAGGTATTCCTCCACGTTCTATACCTCGAATTTCACTAGGACTTAGTTCATGACAGAGCTTTTAAACGTATTTTGAGTGATAGGTATGATATCGTACATAGCCAACGGGGGATTTATAAGTAATGCAGTTTTAACCTTCGGATTTACATATTCTTTAATATCTACAATATCGGATTATAAGTTTGACCTAGAAACCTGTACGGCTGTTTTGATGTGCGTATCGAACGGTTTTGAAGATGCGGGGCGTTTTTTTTTTATATCGCCGACTACAGTAATACATAACTGCCTGTGAAATTTATTTAATGGTTCGGCGACGATTGGAACCTCTAAAATCGGATTCTCTAAGCTAGTATGAGCGGATGCGGTAGACGAATTTTCTGACGAGGGTGGATGTACCGATGGGTGCGCGACTATTGAGCTAATCTCTTCGTTACAGATCTCTACTCGAGATAGCGCGTCGGCGTTGGAATTACTAGTGCCTTTTTTGTAGATTACGGAGAAATCATATTCCGATAATTTCAGTTTCCAAGGGGTAATCGCGAATTTTAAATTTTCGGTAGTAACCTACTAATTCGAGAAGCTGTACGTATCCTCATCCTCTTTTTTTTTTGGATAGCCGAAACTTAGGTTTGCCTTAATGCAATCTTAAACTTAGCTTACTTGAAAATTTCAACAGTCTCAGGGCTAATACATGACTGATTTACTATTAATAATTATATATAATAATATAAAATATAATAGTTAAAGGGTCTAATAATTATATATATGAAAGCTGTCGTTTTTTTTTTTTGCAAATTTATTTCTGACTTTGTTTAAATTTTACTTGCTTCCTAAAATCCTGTTCCTCAGTGGAATTGGAAGGAGGCTGAGGCTCATCAGAATATCCTGAAGGGATATCCTCTTTCGTTTTTTCGTAACACGTGTCAATTGCATAGTAGGGCATGTCGGCATTGTAATATTCCGGTTCGGTATAGTAAAATTCGTTAGGATAAAATTTCTTTCTTTGGTGACGTAGTGGCTTACACCACTCATAGGCTTAGGTCCTTGATCTTGGGGCGCGTTTCTAGGAGCTAATTGAAATCTATTTTGGTACGCGTTATAATGCGGGGGCGGCGCGCGGAACATTTGCTGCGTGCGCGTCGGTACATTAATTGGTCTGTACGATGGGGGCTGCAAAGTCTGAACGTTAGGTTTCCACATTTGTGGGGATTGATGCCAATTCGGGTTCGGTGGTTGTCGCGCGGGGAAGCTAAATGGTTTGAACCCGATCGGATTATTAGTGAATATTGGTATAGGGTTTGGTACTTGCACACTAGGTATTTTCTTTTCAGAGACTGACTCGTTACGGTTTTGAAGATATATGACATTTAACTCTTCCTGCACAAATTCTAACGCCTTTTCCAAACTATCCGGACGCATGCATCTTATGCAGGACCCTAAGGGTTCTTTTAAACCACGCACAAATGCCTGCATAGTTAGTTTCCTATAAAGAGTGCGCTTAGCTTCGATCGTTGTATCGACACTCTCGTGTAAAGTTACATAAGTCATAATAGTACTGAACAAGTTAGCACACCGATCGTAAAATTCTTGGGGCGAACTATTTCCCTGTGTAGCCAACATGAGGTCATTATACAAAGCGGTCTCATCTCTTTAATCCGAAAAATTATTGATAAGCGCGTTTTTAATGCTATCCCAATTCTCGGAAATTCCGTTTGAATTAATTATTCGTGCGGCTGGCCCAGTAATCTTATTTAAAACACCATTTATTACATAAAGTTTTGCTAGCTCACTGTTTGGATTCGCGGATGTATATTCTCCTACAATCTGGTCGCTTAAATGGATGAACCTAGGCAAGATATGTGGGTTACCGTCGAACTCCGTTACTAAACGTAGAGCTTTGAAAATAAGTCGACGTCTACCGAATTTATGGACTAACGGATATACTAAGGAGTTATCAAAACTATCTAAATCTACGCTAATATTCCTACGACTATCTAATTCGAGCCTACGAGATATTCTGACACTCGCGGGCCCACTAGGGGTGGATTTCTTAGGATAAAAAATTTTGGTAGGTTATAATCTAAGGGAATTATTGAAAGCAACACACAGAAACGATTTATGAGTGTACTTACAATAACTGCATACTGGTTCTTCTGAGATCGATGTCTGGATTTACCCTCCGATGCGTACTTCTGGTTCTTTTCTCAGGAACTCGGGACGCGCGATCGCTCGCGGCGGCGGTAGCGATTGGTTTTCGATGTGAGAATCCCTAATTAGCTACCTCGAGACGTCTCGAGTATCCTACCGACTGCGCCAATTATAGAAGTCGCTGTCGGAGGCCTCAAAAAAAAACCAATTTGCTTGAACTTATTTATTAGGACTTACAATTTAAACTTAGAACTAAACTGTAGCTAGCCTAACCTAAGTGTGATTCCGATCGATGCTAGATCAAGAATGACTCCCTTATTAAAATAATCGTTAACCAAAGTTCTTGAATACGGTAAGCAGCGGTGTCGACTGGCGACGTTTCCATGGACGTCAGCTATATTGGAAGTCGTGGAACATAGCGGTGTCGCCTGACAACGCTCCCAGGAACGTGAGCACGGCCTGGATGTGTAATCCGTTTACACGGTTTCAGCAAAACTTGATCGTGGGATTGTGTCGCGATGTTACGAAGAAGACGCTGCTTAGTTGCACTTTTCTATGGGAACGGATATGTAACAAGCTGATAAACATACATTTCTTTTGCATATAAATACACACCTACATATGAACACTTAGACATTGTAAAAACACTCCGTCCATCACACGACATTTTACCATACCAGGTCCATTATCCACACGACAATCGAGCAGTTGAATTTCTAAAATAAACAAATTGAAATTATTTTCCATTTATTGTTTTTACCAAATATTCGAAACAAAATGGAGTATTAAAAGTAGACGAATTTACCGAAATTCATATTTGAATTATGAAAACAGTTATAATTTTTCCGATAAAATAATGGATCTACATTCTATAGAGCTATATTTTTAGCTCCGCAGAATGTAGATCCATTACAATATGGAATTTTTCTAGATGCTTCGAAAACACCCGAAAGCATTGGAATATATAGACGGTGTGGGTGTTCACTACTACGCCGACAAATTTGTACCACCAGCTGTGCTCTACGCTGTCTCTAAGACTCATCCCGACAAAATCGTACTGGCCACGGAAGCATGTGAAGGTTGGTAAATTAAAACATAATACTACTACATAGATGTCGATAACGAACTACATAGATACGTGTATGTTGCTTTCATATTAGTAAATTAAAAAAATGGATAAATTTTAGGTAGTTTCCCGTGGCAAAAAGAAAAAGTAGAGCTTGGTTCTTGGACCAGAGCAATCACATATGTAGCTGACATACTAGAGGTAATGTTCGATATTCTAAAGAAAATTTTAGCGATGAGTGTCTGTACCGTAATACAAAATTAAGTGTTGTACTGCTTAAGAATGTAACGTGAATACATAATAACCTGTAAACCTATCTAATCCATCATAACCGAACATCACTGTTAAATATTGATCTCAGGATCTCAATTACAACGTGGTTGGTTGGATTGATTGGAATCTGTGCTTGGACACGCGAGGCGGTCCAAACTGGGCTGCTAACTTCGTGGACTCGGCTATCATCGTGAACAATACTGAGTTTTACAAGCAGCCCATGTTCTACGCCGTGGGACACTTCTCCAAATTCATCAAACGCGGCGCCGCACGGATCTCCGTTAGCGAGGAGAAGTCATTTTTAACGGGTTCCCTCAAACACACCGCGTTTCAGAATCCCGATGGCCACATAGTCCTTGTTGTGTTGAATGAGTGAGTATGGATATGTATCCTTTTTATTAATGTATCTCTGGTGACCGTGGTGCAGTTGCTACGCCATTAGCTTTGGTGCCGTAGCTTCCATTCCCACAGGGAAAGACTATTTGTGAGATTCACAAATAATTATTTCTGATTTGTGTGTTTGTTTCCAATGAGAGTTGACGTCAGACAGCGGGCTGGTCGCAGTATTTTCCCACAACGTTATAGATGTGTTTAAAACTATCAATCTATATCATATTATACATTAATATTCATATTTTAGTAACAAAAGAAAAACTTTAACGCGTATTTTATTGTTTAATTTTGTGTTATTAGAACTGGCAGACAGACACTAACGACATGTTATATACCGATATACGGTATCCGATGATACTCTTTCTAATTAGTAATTTTTCATCATTTAGGGCAGAAAAGAGTAATGTACTGGTGAAATGTGGTAAAGGCCAAGCGACGGTGGAACTAGAAGCGGACTCCTTCACCACTATGGAATTCTTCTGCGACGTATAGAATGTAAGGTGTAATCATAGAAGTTATAGTGTAGATCGTAGAAGTATAAAAATAGTATAAAATAAAGACGTTAAAATGGATACTTTTTAATTCTTGATATAGTTTTAGAATGTAAGGTGTAATCATAGAAGTTATAGTGTAGATCGTAGAAGTATAAAAATAGTATAAAATAAAGACGTTAAAATGGATACTTTTTAATTCTTGATATAGTTTTCGTTTAACTAAAATTAAGAATTAGGAGATACAAATTTTAGCCTCAAATAACTTTGACATCTAAATATTAAACAATCTCTATTTGTTATTATGTCATAAGTTTATCAACTTTCTTTTGATCGAGATAGACAAGTAAAACTTGAAATACCATTAAAGCTTGATTCAAATTCACTACTCAAGATTCATTTATGTAGTATTTTCCTACTAGAGTTTGAAGATCCAGTCAATAGTGTATCACTAGCAATATTAAAAATTGAGCACACTGATGTAAATCTATATATAAAAATGAATCGCTGAATGTGTTACTAAGCGCAAATCTCGAGAACAGCTGAACCGATTTCGCTAATTCTTTTTTATAATATTCCTTGAAGTACGAGGATGGTTCTTACGGGAGGAAAAAAAATTGTCTGAAAAAGTCTAAAAACAACACTTCTATATTCCCATACAAAAGATTCGTAATAATACTTAAGTCACTTAAAACTTTAATACAATACCATAAAGTTTAAGTGTCAGTTGAGGGGTTTCGGGAAGGCAATACAATTGAGTGACGTTAGTATGGTATAAATATTCATTTTGTAATAATTTTTTATTAGATACGCGTGATTCAAGAGAAACGTTTCCATATATAATGGCACCATGGCACCAGTTATAAATATAAATTTTGAGGGAGTGGGTTTATTTAAATAAAAAAAATGTAACAACATTAAAGTCACTATATTTTAAGGATTGTGAATACAATTTCCGATCCCGACATGTACTTCATGTATCCTACAAATAAATTCTGGATATTCTATGCATACGGTTTGTTTAAAGTAAAAAAAAATATGTAAACTCAATAATTTATACAATATGATTGAACAGCAGATGTTTCGGGTCGCGGAATATCATAATATGAACGCGGGAGAGAAAGAGAAATGCTGATGACCATTTAATTGATGTGGGATCGGGATGAAATTGCTTGTTTTTGTTGGGTAAACTTAAAAATATTATATTTCACAGCGTTCAAAAAAGTTGAAAAGTTGTATGTTCAGGTTTAAAAAAAAGCAGAGCTCAAATATAAACAATATTAATATCACTCACCTGTGAAATTTTCAATCTATTTCGTAGTTGGCATTCTATCCAACTCAATGCGCAGCGGCCAGCATTGATCGGCAAAAGTAGGAGAAAACTAGGTAAACTTTTGCAGAGAGGATAGCAATTTTTTTAAAATGATAAATGAGTAAACAACTAAAGAAGTGAGCGAAATAAATAATCGAAAACTTGCTAGAAAAGCGCGTGTATGCTAATGCAGAAGAAATTTCAGTATATGTGTTTTATCCACAGAACACATATACTCCTAAGGAGGTTTTATCTATAAATGGAATAATGAAAAAAATTTTGAATAAAGAAACCACGCGTAATTTATTTCTTTCGTGTGCACGCCGACCTCCCATTCAGCCAACCATCAATATAAGTGGCCAGTTCTTCACGATTATTTTTTTTTAGTATCGATTTTTTAATTATTTCACCTAAATAAATATAATAAAAATAGAAAACGTTATACATAATAGGGATAGAATACAATAAATATACTTAATAATATATAATTATTGTATTGTAGGGACCCATATACGGATTTTTTTTAATATTACCTTTTTAAATATAATCGATTCACGAGATGTAGTTACTGAGATTAAAGAATTTAACATCATAGAAAAGGCTTCTATAAATTATGTCGCGGAGATAGGCTTATGAAAAATTATTATATTATGGTTTAGAAAAATAAAAAAAAAAAAACATTGCGTTCTTCTACATAGTTCATAGAGGACAATGCCCAAACTTAGTACCCGTGCGCCCAAAATAACCGTATATAAAAGTACATAAAATTAAAAATAACGTTATTTTATGATTTATTAATTTTTATCGTGTAAACTAAATCGAGAAGAAAGGTACAGCTGAAACTCAAATAGGAAGCACTTATTGCCTAGCTGCATAACTGAAATTTATATTTGTAAAACGTCCTTACAATAAGTTTGTTACCATGTCCCATAATGTTACAATGTCGCTAATAATTTCTGGCAGGCGCTCATTACTTTTTTTATTTTAGGATATTTTTATATATATAATACTGTACGTGTTTATATCACTGAACTGCTCCTAAACGGCTGGACCGATTTTAATGAATTTTTTGTGTGAATTGTGAATCTAAACCATTCTCGAATCGACCCGAAGACGATTCGAGAATGATTTACATTCACAATTCAGTCCACTAATTTTTTTTTTATTTCTAAGTTGTTGGGTCCGCTAGTATATACAACTATGAAAAATGCGCACTGTGCCCTATGAAGCTTTAAAAAAAATTTTCTCTACGGACTGAAAGCACAATCATCATTATCAAAGTTAGTCGTAAATTGGTCAGGCTTTTTAAGCTGCCGCTGACCCCTTAAGCCTACTTACTTTCTATTCACACGTGCAAATTTTTTAGTAAAAAAAAAACTCGTTAAGCGTTTTATTAAAATGTGTGTATAATACATAAGTATTTAAACTTTTTTTTGACATTTCATCTATTAATAGTATTTTCAAAATATACTTATTGTACCATAGGATAAAACAGCACAGGCCTTCGTACATAGGACCGTGGCGTCATTCTTCGCGTGTCTTATACGTTCGCCTAGAGAGTTCACTTAGAGTTAAAGCGGATTAACTTCTCTCAATCCCTGAAAAAGACGTCCCAATTTGTATCCTATATACCGCCTCGTTCTTTTATTGTTGGTTTTTATGTTGGCAATATACCCTAGCAATGGTTTGCTATGACCAAACTAAAATAACTAATTGTTTCTTCTAAGCCTACATCGACTCCACAAAAAATATTAGCTCTAATAAAGGATTAATAAATATTCAAAAACAAGAAAAAAGTCAATGAAAAGAGCATTTATTGTAATTTATTTTTTCAAAAATTTTACACAAATAGAATGTCAGGATACAATAAAAAATAATAAGTTTACGCGTATGCAAAGCTAAATAATCAAACAACGAGGAACAAATGTGCGTTATTTAAATGCGTTTAAAGTTAAAATACATTTATAAATTATCAAATAAAGCTCTACGAGACGGTGGAAATCATAAGATAAGTTTTGCTTTTAACAGATAAAGTTGTGTATCAAGTAGGGATACACCCTATACGTCTATTACACACGACACACCGACACTAACACCGAAAAACTAACTTCAATAGCAATAGTGCGAAACGTCCACAAATTATTGTTCTTAACACTCGAAACAATAGTTCGAAACAACGATAAGGGGCAGTGGCCTTCGTGGAGAACACTTTTGTCAATACAATCGTACAAAATCTACTTTATTCCAATATCTAAACGCTATACGCTATTAGCTGGTAAAATTCAAGTACAAAGGGTCATCGGTATAAACATCAGAGTTCTACAAAAATAAGCTCTACCAGCTTACGATAACCGGAGGGATATCTATAAAGAAGTATATACTCGTTTCGTACGTTAAAAAGGATTATACCGTTGAATGAAGCTGTCTCCCAATGGATTCTACCTCATTTATGTTGAAAATAAAAAAAAAAAGAATACGGGTTGCACTCCGGGATTGCCGACAGATAAATATTATAAATAAACAATTTTGATTCGAAGTTATTTAAATATCTCGTGATTACCGCATCAATTGTACTTATATATATATATAGTAAAATCAAATTCTCTATTCAAAAATTCAAATAAACACACGCTATAGCTGTGTCTCGTAACGTTGTCGCGAGTCCACAGGTTTTTATCATCTAAAAATATGCGTACCGCGCTAAAGGATGTTTTCACTTCAAAAAAGTTAATGAATAGATCATTCAATTGTTTTGAAAATTTTACTGTGGTGGGGCCATGGGTATGCAGTTGCAAGGATTGGCAGACGTCTAGGGAAGTACTATGGCCTCACAGAAGTGCAGGTATTATGGCTTCCGGGTTTAGTCTGGTGGTGAGGTAGCCGGGGACCACTTTTAAGCGTTTCTATTAAATCAGTAAGTTATAGATGACCATGGGGAGCACTTTACCTATTCTTTTACTCTTCCGACCGCTTTGGCCGATTGATAATTTTGGATAAGACACATCTAAATTAATAATCACGTTAAAACTGATTGAAATCACATCAAAATATGAACAAACTTTTATAGAACATAATTGTACTAATATTGATAAAGATATCCAATTTGATAATTTGATGTACTAATTTAAATTTTTTTTTCAAGTGGCGGCGTTGTCTAATGGCTGTTTTTAAAGACGAAAGTATTCTTTCGTCTAATATAATAATAAATTTGAATGTGAAGAAAGAATCCATCAAAAGCAGCCTCGTTTAGAATATATACTTCCTAACGCTTGATGGTGATATTTAATAATAGAGGGGTCGTTCATCAGATCGTCATCTTCACAAAATGTCCGTTTAAAAGTTTCGCCCATAAAAAGTAATCTGCCCACAGATTCCATTCGAAAGTTCTTCGACAAAACAATATGATTGATGAGGACTAATGGGAAAGTTTGATTTTATATAAAGATCTCTAAGAAAACGTTATGTTTGTGATATTGAACAACAATTTTATATTCCGTTTATGTTTAAGAAAAAAAATTAATTACGAGACACAAATATTGTCAGTCATTTCAAAAAGTTGTATATAGTGAATGAAATTTTTCGGGTTTCGTTTAAAACTTGTTTTTTTTTAATTTTGTGAAAGTATTTCAAGATATTTACAATTTTTTTGTTAAACTATTTAATAGCAAGAAATATACTTTACGTAACAGATTTCTTTTTATTTACTTTTTGAAACGAAAGACCACTCAGAAGAACAGACTATTCAATTCGTGTAGGCTATTATTGAATAAGAATGTCAGTTTCATCAAACACCTTGAAATTGTAGAGTGAACAAACACGACAAAGTATTGTTTTCATAAAGTATTAGAAAACAGATTAATATCAATTATCCACATATGGCACCGAAGAAAATGTGACCGTAAATAGAGATGAGACGGGATGCGATTTAGCAAGTCGCCATTTCCTTCTTCTTGCTAGTACTTGCGAGAAGAGAAGAATCATCTGCGAACAAATATTTTAAAATAATTTAAAAGCAACATTTTAACGGTAAGGAAATAAATGAATGAATACTGAGCCTAATCGAAAGTCTAGGTTATTTATTACCCGTTCATGATTGATTGCAATACTCCAAAGATGCTAGTTCTATACGCAAAAAAAACGGAAGCTCTAGTTACATTGAAAAATAATTAAGATTTTTCATCAAATGTCCAATTGACAATTTGGAATGATGGTCTATTACGTGAGAAAAGCTACAAAGTAATTAATAGCTTTGCCGTTTGTTCCGTCGTTTCAATGGGGTGATTAAACATGGATTTTTTAATCATCCGATTGAACTATACTTCTGTGTTTCGTCGAGTGCGGTAACCTGGTCCTACTTTATTAAAAGCTGGCAATTAATCTACAACACTATAGGTGTTATAAATGGCAGTGGTCCTTAGGCAATGGTTATCACTTAACATCAGGTGAACAGCCATCTCACTTGCCTTCTTCTTACATTAAAAATAATGACCAGTTTTTTCCGGAAAAGCCACGGTCTAAACAAAATACGAAATAGGTGAAGTGGAATTTGTACCTTTTATGTGGAAGCATTAGCATATTGAGATTGAAGATGACTCGATGACAAAGTTGTTAATCTACTGGCATCGGCGCCGTGGGTCGTGGGTTCTCGATTACTTATAATTGTACCAGATACGGATGTTTGTACCCGAGGAGGGTTGACTGACGGACTCATGCACGAAAGGTTCCGTACCCTTATCTATAAAAACGGCACAAAAAATCATGTATGTTGTATGGGAGCTCCACTCATATATTTTTTTATTCTGTTATTTAGTGTCTGTTGTTATAGCGGCAACATACATCATCTGTGAAAATTTTAACTGTCCAACTATCACGGTTCATGAGATACGGCCTGGTGACAGACGGATAGACAGACAGTCAGACAGCGGGTCCCGTTTTTGGGTACGGAACCCTAAAAAGGAGCGGACGCAAGGTTAGCAGTAAAGCAAAAATAAAATTAAAAAAAGGAGTGGACGTAAGGCTGGCAATAAATAATGAATGATTTAAAAAAAGAAAATGGACGGAAGGCCGGCAAAAAAGAACAAATGAATTTATAAAAGGAACGTACAGCTTTTGGGGCTCACCTCCGGCGCCGGTGGGGTGCAGGCGCTTGAGCACCTGCGTGATGTCGAGGCCGGTGAGGGACTTGAGAGCGGGCGGTATTCCGCCGGCGAGGCGGGCCATCTCGCCGGTTGCCCCGTTGTCCCCGACTAGCACTATCTCGTCAGTCTTCGCCAGCGGGGCCGACACCTCGGCCGCGATCTGGGGGCGGGTTTCACTTGAATGTCTCTCCAAATATAATAATAATAATAAACACTTTGGGACACATTTGCTTACACAGCGTTTCTGGTCCCAAACTAAGCGACGCTCGTACTATGGGTACTAGGTAACTGATAAACATACTTTTCTTTTGTAAATAAATACATATTATACATATTATATAAACACCCAGACACGGGAAAAACCCTATGTTCATCACGCAATGTTTTACTAGTAGTGGGTATCGAACCCAAACCATCTTACCCAGGAGGCAGGTACCCTACCCACTACGCCATTCGGGTCGCCTTCGCAAATATGCATTTTGCATCTTAAATTTCGATTACGAATAGCTCCTAGATAGCAATGGGAATATTCACACACGATTCTAAGCCGCGGGTTCACTTGGGTGTCTCTTCAAATATGCATTTGGCATCTTTAATTCCAATAACGCATAGCTTCTACATTTAAGCAATTTATACACGATAGCGGGCTAGGAATCGGATACGTATCAGTTACGGCATACCGAACCCACACATAATAATACACTCCATTTAGTTCCAAATACAAAATGTAAATTAACTTTAATGGCGTCAAATCAGCACAATAGAAATAATATAGTCAGCGAAACTTTAACTAACTTACCACGAGGAAATACACAGCGTCAAATTCACAAAATAAATAAAAAAACAGTGGTAAGCTACCAAAATGCTATGGGGGAGCAAAGTCTCCTGTCACAGTAATTTTTGGTATTTAGGTGACTTCGATCACGGATCATGAAAAGTTAAAAGAAGTATTTAACGACATAAGCTTATTATTTAAAAAAAAAGAACAACGGTTATTGTTACCACCGTACGTACCTTGGGCAGGGCGTCCAGCACTAGAGCCATGATTGCCGCCTCGCCGTACTGGTTGTAGACCTTGGCTTTAGCCAGCATCCTTTCAGCGTCTGCCTTCCCGACGTCCCCTATGGCAGTGGCCTCAGCCAGGCCCAGCACTTTGATGCGCTCCGCGTCCGCTTTCGCCGCCTCCACCGTTTGCGTTCTGCGGACAAACCCTTTTTGCGGTTTGTTTTTTTTTGAAGTGAAACTTTTAATGAGTTTAACGCTACCGTGGAGGGGGTATGAAAGCACTGTTGCGTTAAACGTTCAACGCTCCTGGGGAAGGGGAATAGAAAGAGACAGAGCGAGAGTGGATGGCACTCGAAGTTTCACTTCTTCCGAGTGGAGGGGCTCCACGCACTATTCTTCTTTTTATGTGAGAAGGTGGCAAGCGAGCTGGCGGTTCACCTAGTAAGTAATGTCCACCCATGTACATTGCAACACCCGTAGGATTACGGATGCTGGTGTTCTGTGAGGTCGTGGTACTGCCCCGGACGGAACTGCCCATTCGTGCAACATCAAATACTGTGGCGTGCACCTACCACTGTCAGTGATCTTTTCATCAGGCGTGTTGTCCTATTGTCATTTCCCATTCGGGGCCAGAGACCTCCTACGTACGATAGGAATGGAGTCTCCATTTACTTACTAATACCATAGCACCGCGAGGGCTCTACGTGAGGTTTTGGTTATTTTTATTTTCCTTAACAAGCAGAGTATCCGCTTACATAAAAGATAAGTGTTAAGGACAAACCACTGATCCACGACCCCAATGATGAGTATACAGTTAAAAAAAGGGTATGCTCATTTTAAATTCCAATCATTAAATTCCGTCCTTGGCAAAAACTTCCCTCAAAAGACGGTAAATTCAGTAGCCAAATAGAGTATTGGCGTATTTTATATTTCTTTCTAAAGTTAGTATTATTATATAATTCAAGAATCCGATTATCAAATCCTATTAGTTTTCTTTATATTTTTTTTATGTTTATTCTTTACAATCGAGCTCAATCAGATGGAGTTTACATACTATGAAATAAATAATTTTTAGACAAAGCTTAGGTTTGCTCTACTCTTTCTTTTTTCTCTTTAGTCGACCAAAGAAGGGTCGGGCTTGAAGTGAAAATATTTATTATTTCGCTGATAAATCTGTTAAGGACGAGAGCCAGCTGTTCAAAAGCTGGGAACGCATCTGGGAACCGACTGATGCCCTGTTGAGGTGGTGCGATTTAGCCTTAGATGCCAACTTGCTTTGGTAAGGTCGTACCGTTTGCCCTCGGCGATGGTCTGCAGACGATAAGCCTCTGCCTCGGCTGGTAAGCGAACAGTCGACACCAGTTCCTCCTCGCGACGTAGAATTTCTTGTTGCTCCACCTAAAGTTGGCATTTTAAATTGGTTTAATATATATTTACGACCAGGGAACCTTCAAGAAGTGAGCATATTCTTTCCTAAAAAGTCGGCAGCGCATTTGTAAGCCCCCGGGGGCCCTGAGCCCTTTCACGGGCGGTTAACACTTCCTATCAGGTAAGCCTGCTGCCCGTTCGCCCCGTTTTTTTTCATAAAAAAACATCTGTGAGATATTATTAATTATTTTATTACATTACTAACTGTATTTTTCACCTGTATCAATTTTATTATATAGTATTTATACTATAGAGTACTAACAGTTTTGGCGAATTATAATTTTGGCGAAGAAATAAATTTCGATCGTCATGGGGCCGTACGATATCTATTTTTTTTTGCCGCTCACGATTAAGTCTTAACCTTTTGACTCAACGGACATCTAATATTTTTATTTCTAATTGATTTTCCCCTTAAGTGCCCTAAAATCAGAACTGCTCTGGAGGTACAGGTGTAAGTTTATGAAGGTCGTTTTATTTAGAACAATAACTACATCTTTACAAATTTTCACTATTTTATTTGTAACCGCAGCGCTTTTAACATTTTCGTTTGCATTTCACTTGACGTTCGAATGATAAAGAATGCGAAGTCATTAAAAGTACAAAATTTTAAATCTTCACCAATGAACACAGTCCGTTTGTGATATTTTATATTTAATTTTTTTTTTACATATAACTTACTCGAATGTTTAAAAACTCAGTTCAAACTTCTTAATATGAATTTTAGCAGGTAAAGGACTCTTGAGAGAGTAATATAAATTATTTTTTAAGAACTCAACAATCTGGAATGTTCAGCAGGAATCTCTTTATGCCATATCTCAGTTGTTAATAAAATAATTAACGTAGTTTACTACGAAACTATACTATAAGCTGATTTTGATATCTTGGAGAAGCTATTAATCACTTGACTGTACAAACTTATGTTTATTAATTAGTAGCTCGCTCGCTTTGGCTTTGAAAGGGTACATAAATCTAAGTTATTGTTAATGTGTCGTATAAGGAGTAAAAACATAATTGTAAATATTAAAACAGTTTTGCGAAGCATTTTGTAACATATTGACAGCAAACATGCAAACACATTTATTTTATATTAGCCACGTGTTATCGTCTTACAGTAACTTTTTTGCTTAATTTAAGGAAATAATTTAAAAACATTGAACATTTTAAATTGAAAGAGGCTGTTGTAATTTGTAATACATTGTCACGAATAAGCGATATCAGACCCTGTATTATTGGCAACACTGATTTTGGGCGTGGAGTCACTTAAATTTATAATGTCATACGCACAAGAAGTGCAATTTTAATTAAGCTTATTATAACTAATAAAGTAAACTGATTGAGGAAATATCATGTTTGTCTGACAAGTCCATCATTTTAAAAGGGGATTTTTATGAAACAAGATACAGACTTAGACGGTTTAAGATTATTTAATCGACTCAATAATATTCGTAAATAGTCATGAGTCCATGCTCGAGTAAAGATATGAATTGGATAAAACATACCTCGATCTGCTTACGTCTCTCGACAATTTCGATTTGAATCTCCTCGTTTCGAATCCTCTGCTTAATTTTGGCGGCCTGAAGTTCGTACGCCAGGGCAGATTCAGCTTTCTAAGCAAAGAGATAAAATTGATTTTGTTTACAGCTCCATAGTGCGAAACAATTTGGACGCAGCTGCAATATCCTGTACTATCGAACCATTCGTTAAAAAAACAGACACGAATATTGGGCCGCAGTGACTTGCCGTTACTTTTCGTGAAAAAGTGGTAGAATTTTGACGTACACGATATGTCTCACTTTTACAACCATTTTTTGTGAGTAAAGTTGTAATAATTATAATAATTACAATATTGTTTTCATTAACCCTACTTTTAGTATATCTTCATAGTTTTCTATTACTTTTCTCATATTTATCTGTAACTTTTTATATTTTATCGTTAATATATTGTTTAATTTCCGCCTATTAAGTTAGTTAAGGCCTAAAGTTCTGTTAGAATAATTTAGATATGCTGTTACTTTAGCTTAGCTTTGAACATTTTCTTTCGAATAGTAGTATGAAGGGCATTTTGACTTTTAAATAGATTAATTTCTTGCCAAATTTTTATTTAAGACGGGTTTATGTCGTCTGATATATTAGGGATTAAAACAATCTTCAAATCAGCCCGAAAATCTCTGATGAACGCACGACGATTAGAAGTCAAGACAAGTTTTAAATTTGTCTGATTGGGTTTAGAAATAGTTCCCTATTCTATTACCCAATATGATAGATATCCTTTTGTTCAGTTTTCAGGGCAAGCTAAATTAGGACGAAACTTCTTTTTTTTATTTTGTTCGTATTGTTTTGACAAATGTGCTTGCTGTCTTGCAGTAACACCTCAAAGAATTATTTATAGTCGCAAAAAATGTGTAACATAAATTAAACTTCTCCCGATAGACCTGAGATGGCAGATGCAAAGCTTAGCGATTGTGCCAGCCAAGTCATCAAGGCATTTTAGCAAAATGTTATTAGATACTCACGGCCGTGTTTATTTCTTGGTCGAACTGCGCCTTCTGTAACTTGTACAGCCTATTGTTGTCTTCTATCTTCGTGTCCGTTGAATACTTCACGTCCATCGCGCTCTTCTCGCATTCAGCTTCCTGCAAACAGAATGCGGATGAAGGCATCGTCACCGGCCATCGTCATCGCCTTATTTTCATGACGTACTAAAGTTATGATTTTTTTTTATTTGTGTGTTAGTTTCTCGTGCCTCAGTAGACTTGCAAAGTATAATTATAATTTATTACAAGAATATTTTTCTTATCGCTAGACTACACAGGAAATCTAAACGATACAAAGATTTGTAAAAAGGGTACAAAATAGTTAAATGAATATTAAGATGTTAAGCATCTTCAGTGTGAAAATCAGTAAGTATATACATATGTCGATCTGAGGATAGTTCGATATAGATACTACGTAACAGTCTAAACATTCAATAGAGAAAAGTATAAATTTTAAAGCAAGCATCTTCAGGGTCTACAACCTTTCCCGACTCTTGTAACTCTCCAGTAGTTTCAAGTGAATTATTGTAATTGCGCGTCATAAAGCCTAAGAAGTGGCATTTATTTAGCTGAAGCGTTTTCAAAGATTACGTCATCAATTACAAAGAGTTATGAGCAAAGTAGTTAGGTCGAGATAAATAGGAAGATGGTTATTCTGAGCGGTTAAATAAATTTAAATTGGCCTCAACCCGCGTAATGGACGCAAGGACGTGAACTAAAGGTCTTAAATTTAATGAGGACCCTAATGTGCGAAATCTTTATGATAAAATGTTCGCATAAAAATCAAGATAACATAAACGACGCATAATAATAAGGATCTAAACTGAAATGGACGGTAACATTGATTTGCATCGAAGGAGATTTTTGTTAGCTTTACTTAATTAAGAAATTCGCATAAAAAATATTTTTTAACGTTTTAAGATGAGTTGTTAATTAATGAAGTTAACTTTTACATTCTTCCTTTCGAACAGGCAAAGGTTCATATAACATGCAGCCTAGTCTTCAGAAAAACGACAATTTAGACAAAGTGATGAAATCACACGTTACATTATTAATAGAAAATACATAAATCTAGATAAAGAAAAACGAATATATCATAATTGTCCATTATTTGACCGTCTGTATTCGTTGTACCTTTATTCAATTTACGAATAATCAACCACGTAAGCAAAGCTAAAAAAATTCTTACTGAATATTGTTCAATTAGGAAACTGAATATAGCAAAATTCATTTAAGCCCTTGTCCTACTTGAAGCAAGAGTTGTTCTATCATTGGCCTCAATATAGCTTACAACGTTTGGTTATAAAAGTAATACTCGTATAAAATTCGAAAAATCTTTCTAACTCGTAATAAAAGAGATAATTTCATTTCAAAATCCACAGGCCCTTTCTTACATATTAGGAAGTGTTTATTTTCAAAAGATCAGATGTATCAGGAACTTTAATTTAAAAAAACTTAAGCACAGAATATATCAATGTTGAGTTTGGAATTTGAAATAAAATAATAAGAATGAAGAGCTATTCAACTTATATTCTGTTTTTTCGCTATTCAAACCAACTTCAAACATGGACAGAAGGTCTCGTCAAACTCCATTTCAATTATTGATTCACCATATAATATGAAATTCTTTCGATAAAAATTGACGGACGCATATGGTATTATGTTAGGTTTGTTATTAATTTTCTCATTTTTAACTTTCTCAATAAATAATAAACTCCTGCGTCACCGCGCTGGCTATTGTATAAGGGGAGTAAAAAGCATAAATTATTAAATTAAACAAAAAGCCCGACTGCTATAAGAATACTAACTATTCATATCTGATTCTATTCTATCATATTGAAATAAATAACCCCTATGTCATATGTAAAAATTGGTCAAAAAGTAATACGTGCCAAAGAGTTAAATATACATACATACACTGCGTAGCGTACACACGCTCCAAAACATTACTTTTCTTCGGCTGTCGGGTAAATTAATAAACAAAAGAATAAAGGTTGGGTCGAGATAAGGGACACTAAGAAAGTTGAAGCCAAGGTCGGCAACAGTGAGTGCTTGAGTGTTGCTGAAGCGATTACAAATAAATACAGAGTCTCGTTCAGGACTGTGCCGCAGCGTATCATGGCGAGAGTCTACCCACCCTAATACCGGCGTCCCTGTTCGCCTGCGCGACCCCTATGTTGGCGTCGCGCTTCACGGCCGCCGTCTGCGCCTTGCCCAGGCTCGCCAGGTACTGCACGTCATCGTACACGTCCTTGATCGTGAACGAGAGGATCTCGATGCCCATCCGGCCGACGTCGGGCGCCGCCACCTCGCGCACCAGCCCCGCGAACTGATCTCTGTCCCTGTACACCTCTTCTACTGTAAGCGTTCCTGTCGGGCAAACGGTGTTGGGTTAGGGGAGACACTAGACGGACTGGTATGTTAGACAACGGTCGCTATAAGAAAAAAGAAGAGGAACGACGCGAGGAAGACAAAACCTAGTAAGAAAATTAGAATAAAAGTTAAGTAAAGTAACAGCCTATACATGTCCCACTGCTGGGCAAAGGCCTCCTCTATACAGAGGGTATCAGGGCATATTCCACCACGCGGCCCCACTGCGGATTGGCGGACTTCACATATCTTCGAAATTTTCAAACAATTCCAAAATTAGAACGAACTCGTTAAATGTTTCCGATCAGGAACAACGTCTAGCAGGCTGGCCAACTTTCGACATGAAAAATGTCGTGTCATGTAATTAAAGTTTAACTTTTGGCTGACGGAATCTCCGACTTCTTTCTTTTAAATAATTACTTAATTTCTTATATACTTTACTTAAATCATTTTAAATATCAACTCAATATTATGTGTTAGTTAACTTATGAACTAACTTGTTATGGAACAATATAAGATATGTGTTTAGTTTCAGTTTATTTCATTTTGTTTTACTGCTCGTTGATACCTTCCGCCAAAGCAAGGTCAAGGCTTCAAGCTAACCCTCTTCCTTTTAATTATTAAGACAATGTATTTTATGATTGATTTCCTTTACGATGAGTATATAAGTACTGTCAACAGAAGATTATAGCCATTCAGTTATTATGGATATTCGCGTGATAATACTAGTTTTAGCGTTCCGTACCCAAAGGTTAAAACGAGACCCTACGGTCTGTCTGTCCGTCTACGAAAATTGTAAAATTTATATTAGCGTCATCATTAACTTCAATCCACATATTAAATAACACACAACAATTATTAATATTGCATCATTCGCTTAAGATTCTAAATAATGCATACCGCATAATAATGCACTTCCTTATTTCACAAGAGAATAAACAGTGCAACAAATACTTAGCATTATCAAGATGCTTCTCGTGAGCAAAAAAAAATGTATTTATGACAATTCAGTACCACAAGGAAATATATTTACGTGTTTCCGACATTTTGAATCCCTTACACCGTTCATGATCGATTCTGTGTGACTAAAACAGCCCCTTTTTACCCGACTGCGCCAGAAGGAAGCTTATTGTTTTCGAGAGTATTTATGTATGTATGTATGTATAATTGTTTGACATGCTCTGCAGCCTGAACGGCTTGATGAATTTTAGCTTGAGGTATCGTTAGATTTGTATTTACTGTGGATTAATGAATTTTTTTTTTAGTTTTTTATAATTGATTTACTAGCCAACAAATTTCGAGCTACGTAACATCAGGTGAAAATTCTAACTACTATTCAGGTAATAAAATTATCTTGGAGATGGCTGGTACACGAGTCTTATTAAATCAATAAACAAAAAAAAATATAATATTAGTCTGATATACAACTTAAGAAATATACTCCCATCTTTTATTTGATAATGAAATTATATGATGGATAATAATTACGTAGATTGCAAATGGGCTTAGCTAAATCTGGGACCCAGAATGAAAAATTAACTTTTTTTTTCATCAATTTTCCCTAATTGTTCTTATTTAAATCAAGCATTAATTGAGAGCAATAAAGCACGATGAATTGGCAAAATATAGGTTGTCTACTCTCCTCCTTGGTACTACCAGGTAAACAGGCGTTATTTACGTACTGTTATTAGTTATTTGATTGTTTTTTTTTTTAATAAAGGGGCATTTTATTTCGAAAGCAATAAAGTACGAGGAATTGAAACATATAGGTTGTCTACTCTCCTTTTGTTACTACTAGGTAAACAGGCGTTATTTACATACTGTTATTAGTTATTTGATTGTCTTTTTTAATAAAGGGGTATTTTATTTCCAAAGCAATAAAGCACGAGGAATTGGCAAAATATAGCTTGTCTACTCTCCTTTTGGTACTACTAGGTAAACAGGCGTTATTTATATACTGTTATTAGTTATTTGATTGTTTTTTATGAAAGGTTATTTTATTCCGTATCCAATACTAATAGTATTATTATACCATTATATACATTATACCATTTTTGACAAGGCATCTTTATTGGGGTGTCAAAATGGAGTCACATTGATGGTTGCTTATATTCCGCCAGCTAGGTCCGCCGGCTTTGCACGCATTTGCAGTCTGTGATTACACAGCTGCGTTTTACAACAAAGGAAAAGCTAAGCCTTTTAAAATATTTTCAAAACGAACGGATTTCCAGGTAATATTTGCATCATCTACAGACCCAACGGATCTTTTTGTTTTAATTCTCTTTTATCCTTTTTTGTAACCTTTCTCGTACTTTAAATATAAGATAAAACATATTAAATTAATACAATATTCATCGAGTTTTGAGTCCGTCTTTTGTTTCGATTCCAAACTCAGTTAAAGTGCGCACAGCGAAAACAGCTCGTTCCTAAGTAAAAGCTAAGCCTTGGCTTAACCGACTTAAGCAGTTAGTGACTCAGAGAAAATGAACTTTCTCTAACCACAAAATTTACGGAGATACGAAACTATATATTTTATCTTTTTCTACAATGTAATATTTTATCTTTGCAAATATAAATATAACGCGAGTGTTCATCTTAAATTTTATTTTGTGAATAACCCCTACTATGGATGACTGTATTTCAAAGATCTATTACGAACATACATATGGTCGCCTCTAGAATAATCACGTGTTATCGATCCCACGATACGCTGTGCCAAATTATAAAACGTAGCAACTAAAAAACCATCGATAACACCATCGATAAACTAATTACCGATTACAGTTCGCGTTACGAGTTTGTTGAAACGTATGAACACATGATTTAAAACAGAATTTTTTATTTATGTAGCTTTAAATATAACTCGACGATATTACAATGTTACACAATATTAATGAACGCGAAAATCTCAATTACTATCTACTTTTTTATTTAGCATTTTAGCAATGATTATATAATATTATATATATACCCTCAAGATTCAGGGTCAAATCCTGGTAGCACTGAAACGTTTTTTTACACAATTTACAAGAATCACATTTAGCCCAGACAACATTTTTTGATACCTATTAAATAGCTTTGCTTACAAATATAGATTAAGAAGGCTGTAATACCTATTAAAAGTTCTCTTATAACCTTACTTACTTCTTAACATTCAAGCACGTGAGACCAATGGTTAGCGACAAGGGCACCAAAGCTATCCTCAGGAATTCCATCGTAGCACTTCTTTGACTTGACACTTTTAATTCAACACCTATCAAGTACGCGTACTAACAAAGACTAAAAAATTATTCATGACTTCGAATCGAAAACTAATCACTGCCCAAAGAAAGTAGACTCTCTAAAAATATACTTTAGTCTCGAAATCAACACTGTCTTCAACTTTACAAATGGAATTATAAATATTAAAGGAAACCGACTTAGATTATATAGGATTCACTAGTTAGAAAACCGCTCAAATAAAGAAAATTTATCAATTATCCATTAGATAATTTAATTAAACAATTTAGTTACGTGTTTCCTGATATACAAAATATAAAATAGGGATAAACTAAATAATATTAAATAATGCTTCTCATAAATCTCACGTCAACCGTGCGTCACGAGCGGTACAGCAGCAATGTTATTCTGCGTTTTCAGCACAGAACAGATTTGGCTGATCGATATCGCGCACCCTTAATGCAACGCACGAAGGTCGATAATCGCATATCAAAGGGTGTCTTTGGCTTATCAATATTTACACAGCGACGATATAAACGCAAATGAATGATATAAATGATAAAAATGCGAAACGACCCTATCTTAGTGATATCCAACAGCACATTTGCGACACTTTTGCATTAATGATTTACCTCTGTCGGAATCAATGTTTTATATTACTTTTATAAATATTTATGAAAATGGTAAAACCGGAATTTCAAGCGACCATTTTTGAAATTTCATTTTAATATTTTCATCGCATTTGCGCTTTCCTGTTCAAAATAAAACTTTACAAATACTTTTTTCATAAATCTAGGCTCAACTGAAACGACTGAATGGTTCTTTTTAGTTTTATGTTTTAAATTAAAATCTGTTTTGACAATAAAAGGTAAAAGAGTACAAAACCAAAGAGCAATGAGTAATAATAATTATCATTTCGCGTTACAACACTACAAAGAAAGCTATTTTCATTCATATTTCATAAGTCCGCAAGAATACATGAGCCTTTTTTTTTCTTATACCAAAACCCGGAAAAGTGCATGCCACTAGAACTCAAATCCGTGATGTCAAAGTGAAGGCCGAAATCAAGGTCTTTTACAATAAGTTCTCACAAAAAAAAATCAGACCAATCTAAAGAAAACAATACCAACTACTGACATTGACATAACGAAGTCCGACGTCTTACCAGCCGCTTGGCTACGAAATAAAGACTCATTGCAATATAGATACGAAATCTAGTACTATACATTTTTATTTAATTGCATTTGAAGGCCCCTAATGTAAGATTTCGCCAGTGATGACGTAAAGGGAGATGCGGCTACGGGCTCCGCCACAACCCGCCGCCCGCGACGACCGCGGCGAGACTGACCCGCGGATCATCCCGTTTCCCCGATCCCGAGACGCGGATCTGGATGTTCCGCAAACAAACAATCCTGAATACGAATCCCGATGAACAGATTGAGAGCGATACAAATGCGAGGAAAAGACAAACAAATACGAGATATAATATTAACCATACGCCGATAAAAAGTATATAAATATAAAAATATATATCTTATGATTAGAAAATGGTTTATTATACATATTTTTAATAGAGAGTGTTTTGATCGTTGTGACAACCCGTATAGTTGCAACTCAATGTAAAGGATCTGGCTGTTGTCCATGTTTAATTTTTGGTGTAATTGAGCCCAAGGACAGCGCAAGAGCTTAGGAAACGGTTTGCCAATACCATTGTGAGACGCTGTGAAAAACATGAACGTTACCCTTTTAGTGTTGAATAAGGTTATCGTGTACTGCAAGTA